TGTAAATCGGTCAGTCAAGCCAGCCGCATCGAATGATTTGCGAAGATCTATCGATGAGACCCATTGGTCCTCAAAATGCCCGCACCATCCCTTGTGCTCAAGGCATCTTCCGTCAAATCATAGCACCCCTCGTTGTCATGACTTCGCCCATTGAAGACAGGAACATCATCCTATTGGGCCTATCTCAGCATGGAAAGTCAGCGTACTTGAATCAGCTCCTGGTGACACAAAAAAGTGCTTCGCCGCAGTGTGCAATTGGAAAGGGGTATGAGCGCTGCACAACAGAACCTCAGTTGGTTGAACTCCATCCCCCGCAAAGGCCAACGCAGATCTTGGCAACTGATGCATTGCCGGAACCGCCAGAGACTCTTTTGTACCAATGTTTGGCATCTCTTCAAGGTCATGCGGATTTGGCTGAGAAAAAGCCAGAAGGTGAGGCGTTGCTACGAATGCAGCGCGAAATGTGGGAGTGGTTGTCCAAGCTTCGGCCAGGCTTGGTTTTGTCGTACAGCGCGAATGTCAGGTTTTCCCACCCTCTCGTCACCTCGAGCCCTGAGGTCCAGCCTGAATGCGATCGAGATATCGCCGTTTGCCTCTTCCGCAAGCACGGTCTCACCAATCTGCTCCCGGAGAGATCTGTTCTGGCGTGAAGTGAGCAGGAAGATGCTGTAGGAGGATCGACGCTTGGGACTGGTGCTCAAGAAGTTGTTGCCTGTTGCCGCTCCTAATGTAGGCATTTGGCCCTAAAGATGGAGGGATGTGAAAGTTCTTGGACAAAAACACTTGACTTCAAGCTAGCAGCGAAGAAGAGCAAAAGGAGTCTCCTCATTTTGTTTGAGATTCTTTCAGAGGTTTGCATCGAAAGGTCTCAACTTTTCTGATGCAAGGAAAGGCACGCATGCATTGGCATGCTGTGCTTAAGCAACAGGCTTGGGCAATTCCAGGGCTCCAAAGTGCAGTTCCCAAGAATGGTTGTTAATCCTTCTCCACGGAGGCACACCCTGTTTTTGAAAGGATTTCCAGGAAGTGATCTAGTCGCCCGCCACCGTGACCATGAAACAGTCCGAAGTAGGAATTGCCGTCCGGAGTATATTAGCTTGCATCACCGAAGGCACCATCCTGCGCAGGTCACATCTGGTGGGAGCCCTCCCTGTTTCGGTGTGGCTAGAAGCCTACAAGGGCGACTCACCCATGAACAAAGGACCTATACTCAGCACAGATTGCAAACACCTGATTCACAAAAAGACCTACGGATGTGCACCACTGCTTGGGTCATAGATGGAACACGGAACATGAGTTTGCTTCTCAAAATCAGAGCCAAACCATGTCATTTTGAGACCACCCATATGTGTACATGGACAGTATACTTTTTTAATCTATTTGGTTTGTAAACCATGACTTCGAGTCCGCTTCAGTCCCACGTGTATATGTACGAAGTCTTCTGCGCGCGGGATCCGTCGTGCGTCGCTGTGCGTTTGGGTGTACCACCGTGAGGGAACAGCTGAAGCTGGAGAGGGATCCTCGGAGCACCATCGCTGTCTTGAGCCATTTGACCTGAAACGAAAAAGAGGTGGCTTTCAACGGGGTGGGAGGTCCATAGTTCATAAAGTTCTTAGTCTCCACGGGCAACGATTTCACGGGCCAAATGCGTTGAAGCTTGTCCACATCACTGTGTGGGGAGTTGGCAGTTTTGGGCTGGTAGATGATCATGAGGATCTTTGCTACAAGCGTATCACAAGAAACTCATGTCGCGAGTCGTGAATCTAGGTAGCTAATAGTGCCCGAATGTTTCATTTCATTTGTTGTCCTACCCATCACTTCTTTTCTCTCGTATTCGTTTTGCAAGGGATATCCAGAAAGTTGATTGCTTGGACTTGTGACCTTCTCCGTATTTTTGGGGTGATGGATGGTCAGTCTGAGATGGTCCACGTCTCGCCCACTTCAGCTAAGGTATTGTCCGAGAGGTGGGCGAGAACGAGGAACTCTTTGGGCAGTGTGTGATCAATGTGGAGGAGAATCAACTCTATGATGCTTGGTGGAAGGATCAGTGGCTGAACGTTGAACAGTATTTCAATATACCAGCCAAGGAGGAGGTCCACCACCTGAAGCTTCTTGACGCAGGAGGCAGGCAACCTGCTGTGCCAGCTCAACAACTCTTTGTGCTCTTCCCACACCCAAAGAGGGCCCTTGTCTTGTGGATATATTGTTCAGAATGAGGTTCACCTTTAGTGGTTGCACCAGACAGACAGTGGATCTTTTTCTGGATGTGTTTCTGTTGTTGTTTCAGTGCATATGGTCTTGATCATGCTTTTTGGATGGCCTGTAGGTCACCGACACCAAGTTGGTTGGAACAAATGCGGTTTGCCGCACAAAAAGCGTTTCTGTGGCGGTCGGGCACAGCCGGGTGGACCAGCCGGGTCTCCCATCCGACGACCATCCGTTGCCTGTGAGGCCAGCCGACCGAGGCGGAGGTGAGGTTAAGACTGGCGCGACCAATGCCGCCCGGGTGAGGAGCACAGAACTGTGTGGGATGGCGGGGGTGGTCAGGTGGTGAGAGCGTGCTTGAAACGTCTATCAACATGGGTTCATTGAGATTGTGGATTTCATAAGTGGACGGTTCAGTTGAACAAGGAATGATTGGTCAAGTCTTTGTTGGTTTCATCCACATGGAAAGTGACACTTACAAAGCTGTGAAAAGGACAAATACCTGGTCAATCATGGGAAAAAGGTTGGCCAATGCCTTTGTAGAGTGGAAAGCATCCGAAACGGCTCAAACCCTGCCCAGATACGAGCACCTCACCTGATCGTCCTTCCTAGTTGTCGATGCAAGGAAAATTGGTCGTAATTGGAAGGTCCAAACATTGACAGATCAGAGGTTCAAACAATCAACAGTTGGAATGTTTGCAAAACAACAAGACCTCTTGCCCATGCTGAGGCATCGGGATGCCATCGATTCTTAGTTATCCTGACAGATGGTCGGATGCCAAAGGCATCAAGTGCTTCACAAAAAGGGTGCCTCTGGCGGTGAGAAGATCATGGAAAACATCTTCTGACCAAGAAGCCGAAACCATTCAAGCCGAAGTCACCATTTTTTGCCCAAAAGCGGGGTTCTGCGGCCCTTCGTGAGCCAAGGCTTTGGGGACCTCAAAGGACCCCAGATGCGAGCACATGCTTTTGGACCTAGAGGTGGGACATTCTGAAGGAATCGTGGAAAGAGTATGTGCTTCGAACCAAGAAACCATCTTGAAGCGTCCAGAGGTATCTGGATGTGGTTAGGTGTTCGTTCTTTGGTGTGCAGGTGGGCTAGGTCTTGCTGGGCGCATAGCTTAGCTTCAAAATTAGTCCTTGGATTGCGTTTTCGGTTTTTGATTGGAGGGCAGGATGCTGTTGGTTTCGTGTGATTCGTTCTTCGTTTGCATGGCTCCGTGCCCTCACTAGGTGTAGCGAGCCCAGTCCTGAATGATCAGCAACGAGGAGATGGCTTGCTAGAAAGCCACAACCACGAAGGTGGGGTGCAGAAGAGCCTAGGAGTCCCACAGCCGAGTCCAGCATGACACTTCCAAGCTTAGTTCGCCTGCGAACCGCCCCTCTCTCCCACCAAAATGTGCTAATTTGGCAAACGACTCGATGGCCAAACCACCACAGTTTTTCGACCAGAGATGTCTCCACGCTCACCCCCTTCGGACCGGAGGCGGTGGAGGGCCCCCCTTGGTCAGCGTGGTCCTCCATCCAAATGCCGCGGCTTTGGAGGGTCGGTGGCGCTGAAAGGCGGGGTCGGTGGGCTTCGTTGTTGGGAACTTCAATAGGACGATGCCAACTCCAGCTTTCTTGCTGGCCTGTTTGGCCGAATGCATGTTGACCCAGCCAAACCATCCGCTTTTGCAACAAAAAGGAGCCCCGCACGCGAGGAGATCCAATCGTTTGGTCCACCATCGGGGTCACTGAGCACTGAAGACAGAGGAATCCGAGATTTGGATGCAGATTGACACAGAAAGACATGCTCCTTGACGTTCCAAAGAGTCACAGTTTAGACCTTCCGATTTCTCTGCAACTTGCACGTGTTTTCTTGTGTGAGACGTGTGTGTTGGCTCCCCTACTCCAAAGAGCGACGTCTCAGTTTGGGTTTGACCTCGCAACCAAGGGTTGTGAAAAGGATTCTTTTTCATTGCTGCTACAGACATAGCAGATAGCACTTTCTGTTCGTAAGCTTCACTTGGCACCAGGAAGGGAGGTTGGCAGCCCGCGCAGCCTTGCTGTGCATGAGTTGGTGCAATCCGTGGGGCAGCCAAGTTGAGACTCCATGCAGCACCAACCAAGCAATGCAAGAAAAGACTTGGACTGCATCCAGTGACAAATCTGAGACTCAAGCAGACGTTCCATGGCTTGGCTGGCTGCAGATGTCTTTTTTAAAGTGTGTTCTGCTGCTGCTTGGAAACGCTTCAAACGATTGCGTTCAAAAGATGTCGGTCTTGAAACTTGTTGTTTTCCTTGGCACTTTGGCTCAAGCGGCTGTACCATGGCGTTCATGGACTCAAAGGAGGAGTGAGGCCTTCACACCAACACCGACGGGAGTGGAACAGGCTGCTCGAATCGAAGCAGGTTTTATGTGGTTTTATGTGGATTTATAGGGTTTTATGGTCTATGCATGAGGGAGGTTCGTGTTATTTTAACCTTGAGAGGTGTCCCTCCATCTTGAATATTGCATTTTGAGGGAGA